ATGACAACAGAGTAACTAGACAGCAAGCTTTGGAGCCACTGTAGGTAGTTGGTTGTGTGTGGTTTTGTTGTTCTAGGATGTATCTCCCCCCAGAATTCGCGCTGTCATTTTGACATGGCATAATTATTGCTCTTTATAAGCCTGGACTGTTTAACAGTGGCTGTGGGTTTCTTGTTCTCACTGCAGTCATTTAGCCTGCGATGAAGAGAGAGTGGAGGAGGCAAAGCTGCTGGTGTCTCATGGTGCAAGCATTCACATTGAGAATAAAGAAGAGCTGACCCCACTGAAAGTGGCAAAGGGTGGCCTGGGAGCCATACTTAAAAGGATGGTGGAGGGCTAGTGGGGGCTTCCCACTTGAGCCTCTTTCTTGTTGCACTTATATTTAAGACTGCAAACTTCAGAGTTTGATATTTCAACCAGGATGTTGTGTGTGGGTATCAGCATGGTAATAAAATGTTTTTATTGAAGCTGTCCTTCAAGTGCAGTGCCAAAACAACTGTTTATACTTCCTGTTAATTGAATAGTTCACTGATTTTAAAGTATTTTTCAATATTTTGCAGTTTTCTTTCAGTTTACAGTACGATCTGTATAAATGTGGTCATTCTTTGTATGTCAGATCTTAGTTTAGAATTATTTCTTTCTAGCAACAGGACCAAAAATGCTTTACCAATTTAAAACCAATTTCATTTTGGAAGCTTGTCCTAGAGTCTTTTTTTTTCTTCCCTTAGCCTTTGTGATTTGTATGTGGGATTGTATTTAGATTTTGTGGGTACAAATTGTCTTTCTTCAGATGATTCTAAACTACACCTTATCTCCCTTTGTAGAATGCAGTTTGCTCAGTTGCTTGGATAAATGTATCCATTTTTGTTACTCTTGATCTATTCAAGTGAGATCTGAGTGTTTAAAGCTTTTTTTGTTGTAACTGGTTGTTCTTCTGTTTCTCTGAATCTTTAAATACATGTATTTGATGAAGTGCACTGGATTGCTTGCAGAATGCAGCAGCAGTTTCAGGGTTACCTCTGCAAATATAATGTTTTATAATGGATGGCTCTGGATAATTCTCTGGGATATACTTCAAATGTAATGTTTTTTCCTCTTGCTCCTTTTGTAGGTTCCTTTTTCTGTTCTCTTTGACTCCCATATGCAGCACTGACACTTGCAGTTTACCATCTTGTTTTATAACAGAAACCTGGTTTTATCTCTACTTACTCATAGCAAATCTTGATATTAAGTTATTAGAAGGCAAAGCTAATGAGACAGAGTCTGAAAAGTGACCTGTTCTGATGTTGGTAAGATCACTTTTGGCACCAGTGGATAGATTTCCCCTTGAACAAATGATGCCAATAAAATTCTGTGAAATAAAGAACTTTCCTAAACAACAATCTTTGGTATCATAAAACTTTATTGAACCTGTATGTAACAAAACCAATGTTTTCTAAATAGCTTGTATGCTTGGGATGTGAACAGCAGATGAGACGAAACTCTGCCATCCATTCCACAGTATGGGAATGCAACATGTTTGATCTTCAGCCTCAAGGAAAGGTTGAAATGCAAGCTGGCAGTTTCTACAGTTTGACTTATAGGGATTAAGGTAATGCAGTTTATTTTGATAAACAAGACAGAAACAACCATTGACTTTAAATGTATCTTAGAACACAAAATGCAGGTGAAATTTCACATTGAGAGCAGGAGGGATAACTTGCCTGTACAGTAAGCTCTGGCCATGCAGATCTTGATTGAAGGAGGAATGTGACTGAGTAAATGTTTCTTGGGTGTTGCACAGGCACTGCTGAAAATCTGATTTGAGAACAGCTGAAGTTAAGAGTTCTGTGTTCATCCTTGATCTCTGTGTAGCAAAAAACCCCTGCCACAGCTCTGTAGCTTTGTAAATACACTTCCCTAGGAGATGGTAGCTTGAATGTTGGCTGAGTATCTGGTTTCCATGTTAATGATCCCTACTCCCACAGGAGCAGATAAATGGGCCATGCAGCAAAGACTGTTGGAACATCTAAGGCAAATTCTGAAAAATGTTTCTGTATCCTGCGTGGCTCTGCAGGGTTTTAGAGTTACACACAGTGGATCAATACCTAATTTGCATTGTGCTTTGCCCAGAGCATCAGCAGAAAGCTAGGAACAGTGCCCCATCCTTTTTAATAAACTTTTACAGACTTTATAATGAGAACAAACATCTGCCAGAAGGCTTACAGAAACATCTCAATATGTTAAGAAACTCTGAATAAATGTTATTTTCCTTACCTTCCTGCTCCCCCCCAGCAACTTGTTTTGTTTCTTATTTTTGCCTTTTTATTTTTAATGCTATCTATTACACACTGATGGGTAGAAGTACGAGAGGAATCATTAGTCAAGAACTTGTGTTGAATTGTTCTTTTGTTTTATTTAAAAACATTAACGAAACTTGAGCAGTTTCTACTTTTTGAACACATATAAAACCTGTGACGTTCTAGGAAGGTTGTATTAGCTATAGAAGGTAATTACAACTTAACCCCCATAAGCTCCTATCTTACTGCAGCAAGTTGTGTAAGGCATACCTGCAGATAAATTTGTGTAGGTGAGATTAAGGAAAGATTGGAAAAAAATGTGGTAATGATCACATAACATAGTCCCCTTTTCAATCACAATAGTGCTGTTGCAGAGAGGTGGAAGTTGGAAAGGTGTTGCAGTAAGAAAAACGTGGCTAAGATGCATATATACAGAAGAACTAATACAGCTATAGTGGTAACATGAAGACAGTTGTTTATAGTTTCCCATGAAGAGTAAAAGAAAACTTAGGAATATCAGATAAGAAATTATTTTAAATTATTGCTGCTGTCAGCCAAGTCATGGGCTCCCTCTGACTAATAATTGATTTGAAACAAATAAGGGGAAACACCTTCGGTAAGAAATAGCACCCAAACAGGAGTAGGTATTCTCTCTCTTGCTGTTTCTGAGCGTGTTTAATGTCATCATTCTGCATGTTGACACAACTTTGGGTGTCAATATCAGACTTTCTCAGTAAGCTGCTCAACCCAGATTGAAGGACATGAGTTACGGATTTTGCTTGGCACAGTTGCCACAAAAGTCAACAAGAGCTGCCTGATTAAGGAGATCATGACTTAAGGTTTACCCTGGATATTTAGGGAAGAGAAGAATGTGAGGATCCACCAGTAAAATATGGCAATGTTGGTATTAGCAAGGGTTTGACCCTCACAGTCTGGCACAAGCAGTTTTTAGTTAAAATTGTATAAGAACACCGTAAGTGTCCTTTTACTCTGGAATGAAGCTAAACACTACAACACACATAACAAAGATAAATATTTGAAAGCCAGAAAACTGTGTTGGAAAGGACAATGAATACAGTTATGCTTGAAGATCCCAAATGACTCTTAGCTAGGACTTCATGCTTTACATCTTCTTTAAATGTTGCCACGTTTTTTCTATTTTTTCCCCCCTTTTTTTCCTTTTTTCTTCTTTTTTGGTTGTTTTTGGGTTTTAGGGGGTTTTTTTGGTGCTCACTCTTTTGATAAACATATTTAGAGCTGTAGGAACTGAACCTGAAAATGTTAGCCGAGAAATTTTAAAGATGAATGTTGCATATGTCTAATGTTTACAGGCTAGGAACAGTCAGCAAGGGATTTATGCATGTTAGGTCTTATAAAGTATTTAAGTGCCAAAAAGTTCCAGATCCCTGAGCCAGATACATTTTTGTGCAGTGCATGAGACTGAAGCCAGTGTTTCCCTGAGTCAGCGAGGACCTGCCTCGTGTAGTTCCAAACAGAGCTACTGAGGCTGTGGGTCTGTATTCACCTGAGCCCCCCTGAGCTCTTCTGAAAGTAGGTCTCTTTGGAAAAAGCTTTTTGAAAAACTGAGTTTGTGTAACCTCAGAAATGAGGCCCAGAGAGAAGAGGTGTCTAGTGATCAACATGTGTGTGGTTCAGTTCCTTTTTCTCCTTCCAGCCACTCTTGATGCTTTCACCTATAGAAAACAGGCTGTTACACTGGGCTAAAGAATCAGAGGAAAAGCAGCATGAGTTTGTTGCTCAGTAGGTAGAACAGGTGCCTGGAAATAGATTTAAATCATCTCAAGCAGAGGAAGCAATCAAAACTCATGTGCTGTATAGTAGAGAGTATTGCTTCTAAGTTTTGAAAGCAGCTGTATTGCATGTCATGAGGAATCTGATGTTGTGCCTGCCTATTGGAACAAGCCTTGCAAGGGATTTAGATTTCCAACTCCTGTTCTGTGGAAAACAGTCATTTGATGTCTGAACTGGGTACCTGAATGCCAGTTCTATTAAACTGAAGACTGGAACTGCTGAGACACACAACTCTGGAATGCTGGTGCCTTGGGAACTTTGAGCCAAGAATGTCACTGTTAACAAAATGTATTCCGTGTCAGCAGCAACAGGGTAAAAGTGTTGTGGTTTTTTGTTTGGTTTTTTTTGTTGTTTTTTTTTTAAATTTAAGTGGAATTCAGACACACAAGATTTCATTGGCCCAGGTCTCAACATCTGTTTCTGCAATCTGATGACATTGATGTAACTTCTTTTTACTTCTGACATACAGAATCAGTTCCTTTAAACACTGCAATGTACTGACCATGAGGATTGTTCTTGGTACACAGGGAATAAGTTGGCCAACACTGTTTCTGGAGAAGACTGCTGTGGTTCAGGACTGTGTGGATACACACAGCATGACTGGTAGTTGACTGGAAAGCTCTTACTTTGACAATTTCCTAATTAGTTTTGCAAAATAGGTTGGATAATGTGGATGATAGTCTTTTTATGCTTATATTTTTCTACAGTTATAACTAGATAATAAAAGAAATTTGGTTAACTTTAAAGGCCAAATCTTCTGCTATTCACATGTAACAGACCCTTTTCAATCTCCAGCCCAGTGGTTTACAATGCAAATGCCCATTTAAGATTTAGTCACACTTCTATGTTAATTCAATGACAATTTTTGTATAAAGGGGTCCAGAGGTGACAAGGAAAACTAATAAAACTCTAGGCTGTTTCTTCCTTTTCTGCTTCTTGCTTCTCATTGTTTTCAGGTGTTCCAGGGGCTGTTGTTTCATCAACACTCGGGTATTCCATTGTTGCGTTGCTTGATGGAACTGTGGTCGCAGGAATGTTTTCTTCATTAGGTACCTGAACATAGTCTGCATTGGATTGTTTCTGAGCCATTTCTCTGCAGGAAGACAGGATTAGGATTGTGATGAACCTTTGTATTTGCTGTCTAAACAGTAACTCCTTCTTTATTATGACTGTGTAAAAAGGTAACAACACTCCTGCTGCTGAGACAGGAAGAGTGACAGAATATTTGCTAATAAGACCTCTACATCACTGGTTTAAGTGATGCCACTAGAATAAAGAGGATTTTAGTATATTTAAATGCTACACCAGGAAAGTGGAAAGGGAAACTGAGCAATGGCAAACAATGCCTGAGGAGGGGTAGCAAAACATACTGCTTGGTGTGAGCTTTCTGGGAAATTCCCTGCAGATGTGGTGTCCCATTGAAGTGCATAAAAATAGAGTGCAGTCAGAAAAGAATTATGGAAAGGCTGAAATCTAGAAAAATATTCTAAAATATATTGGGTATTTTAGAAAATACTGAAATCTAGAAAAATATTTTTAGTAACAAGTATTCATTCCATTTGTGTCACCAAAACAATAATAAACTCCCAATATTGAAACACTGTCACATGCAGTAAAATATCAAGTGCTAGTAGATTAATTCAATGCAGTAAGATTTATTAGGATCTGAGCACAAAATTAATTTTAATGCTACATCAGTTAAAAGCAGAAATGAGGTGGATGAGTGACTGGCCACTGGTCTGGGTTAGCAGAATTCCATATCAGGAAGTCATAGCCCTGTGCTACAGAAAGTAACAATTTTTTCCTGGCCTCAGCTGCATGTATTCATTTAGCATTTAACGTCGTGGGGCTAAATACATTCTGTATAGCACACAAGATTATCTCTACTCTGAAGATTTGGCCATTTAAGGTAAAAATGAGCAACCAAAGCACAGAGGAAAAAACATCTCCAGAGCAGGATCAAAATGGACGTTCTGGGCTCCATTCTGTTGCCTAAACCTTGTGTTTCCTGTGATTTGAGATGCTTTGGAGTATCCCAAGTGTGTGTCCTGTAATTTCAGATAGCACTGAAATGAGCCCTCTGTGTTTAAATCCTGGTAAGTTTGCTGAGGCTACCCTTAGCTGCTGTTTCTTTTTTACTCCCTCCACCCCCTGTTCACAGACCCCATTAACTTTTAAATATTAAGAGCTGGTTTTCTAACTTGCCACTTTTAGCATGTGTTGTTTAAAAACATTTACTTCACTGTTTTAGATACTGCTAAGTGGTAGCTGTCTGTTAACATAGGGAAGAGGGCAATGGCAACTTCTGTTACGAGAGCAACAGGGGAAAAGTCCCACAAAAGCAAATGTTCTCACTCTAGAAGTTTTCTCAAAACTTGTATTATTTACCCTTCAAAAATGTTTAGAGTAATTGCATTTCACGTTAGTTCTGGATTACCTGGAGTGCTTTATGGAAATATTTGTCTTAAAATGAAGCAAACAGAAATTCTTACTGCATCTCATTATTTGGAGACTTCCTATTTTTTGCCTTCTTGGTTAAGACCCAGACGATAATGCAAATGATAGCAGCTGCCAGGATTGCTCCAATTAATGCTCCAGCAACAATAGCACTGTCTGAATCTGGAAAGAAAAAAAAAGATTACTTGACTTTACTTTTAAAAGTAGTAATATAGCAAAATCCCATGGAAATTTAGTGCAAGAGCTTTTAGCAGAAAGAAGGCATTGGATTCAAAGAACCCTTTCCAGGGGGAGGCCAAAGGAAAGTGAGAATTATGCTTTATGTGATCTTTGTTGCCTCCTTTCTTGTTGGTTAGCTCCCTATCCCAACAAACTCTCTCTTTATGTCTGGCTATGGGAAACATTAGGCTGTAACACTCACAGTAGGTAAAAGCCTTTGCTCTTCAGTCCTTGCAAACACATTCTGAAATTCAAGTTGCCTTTATTTCTACCTTTCAGCTGAGATATGAAATGTGTGCTCTGATCATTTGTGAGCCTCCAAAGCCTTTTATTTCCACTTCAGTGCAGCTTCCAGCTCTGACCTGCTATTTTCAGGTCATAGTCCACTGAATCATTGAGTGACCATTTCGTGGACATCTCTCATGGCTGGTTGTACAACATAGGCTTGGCTCTTGTTAAATATTACTGGTTCTGTGAAAAATATGCATGTAGGTGTGGTTGACCACTGCTTGAGAACACTCACGATAAGGTATTTTTCTGTGACTGCAGTATTTTTAACCAGTGGTTACATCTGCAGTGCTCCAGTCCTTGTACTACCACGTTTCAGTGATGGTTTTAATTTCTGGGCTAAGGGGACCTCAGTGAGACTGGTGGCTGGAAGATGTTGCTCAAAACTCCATGTCTGTCCATTCTCAGTAAAGGCTCTGCAGTCAGAACCAGGTCCAGCTCCTGCTCCCTGTGGGAATTAAGCTGGAGATGTTAAACCAGTTTTCTAGGTCAGTGTAAATTCTGGGCATGCCTGGATGAAAACTCCGGAGCTCTCCAAATCCTGTTCTGTTCTTACTTGAAAAAAAAAAATCTATGCTTCAAAGCTGTTAGAGCATTCTCCTGCAAGCTGTGCATGTCCTACATCAGAGAGGTGACTACTTTCACGTGTTAAACTCACGTTTTGCTGTTAGGTCAAGCTGACAGGTGCTGTTCCCCAGGACGTTGCTGGCTACGCACCGGTAATAGCCACTTTCAAAGGTGGTGAGATTGCCAATGTAAAGAATGCCAGTGTTTGGATCTGTGACAGACAGGGAACAGGTACAAGTTACTGTTGGTATTCTGTAGAGGCAAACAGTTCTCTGTAGTTGGTAACACTGAGAGCTACTCAGAGATTAGAAACAGAGTTCTCTGATTATTTGGTTATTTGGGGGGTTTTTATATTCTTTTAATAAAAAACATTTATCTTCCTTGAAAATTGCTCCAGTGGATTCTGCAAAGGCATCAATATTTCTCCCATTTTAACAATTTAAATTAATGGCATAGATAAGACTTCAACATGCCACACAGTTTTTTATTAAATAGGAAAAGTGTCCTTTGTTTTTTGACAGCTGTTGGTCAACTTGAATAAGTAAAAATACGATTTCGTGACATTCACCATCAGAGGAGGATAAATTTTAATTAGCCTATGTGATACACAATCTTTGAAATGTTGGTACTAGGGAATTTCAGGTCTTGGACACAGTACAACAGCCCTTTAGTTACGCACTAAATTGTTCAGTCACAGGCTGGAGGGTGTTCTCCTCGACTTTGTACCAGCGGTAGGTGGGATGAGGCAATCCCTCTTCACATCTGCACAGGAGGTAGATCAGATGCCCTTTTTCAGGTGTTCCTTCTACTTTGCAGAAAGGTGTTGATGGTTTGACTGTAAAATAACAATAAGGAGAAGAGACACATCATGAGTGCATAGCTGGGGCTGCAGTAATCCACCTCGAGTTCTGCTACTGTGCTGCAATTCTCAGTTAAGAATTGAACCTCATTTACAGATTTCCATCCATGATCAGAGTCTTATTTATGGATCTGACCAAAGCCTCTCCCATAAAAAAATGAGTAATATTAAATATATGTACATGGCCTAGGATACAGTTTGCATACTAACTGTTATTATGGAGGTGTTGAGACAAAGACTATCAATTACTTTCATTATAATGGGCCACTCACTATTTGTGATACACCATTCTGCCACACAGAAGCATCATTTTTTTTAGGGACATGGCACGAGCTTTTCCACAGAAAGGGAGAGGATCAAGGCTTGATTCTTCAGTATATTACAGCTGTGGAAGAAATAAATCAACTATAGTTCTGTTAAAAAAAATATCTGTTTTGATCTCATTTCTTCACTTTTCACACAAGGTAGGATTCTGTCTTCACTTACACCTATTGTTTTTCAATTCCTATCCACAGAAATGCTGTTGTGGTTCTTTTGAGCACTGTCAGGGAAACTCTACCATCAATGAGCTCAGCCCAATTTTGTGTGCATAAATGAACAACTTTTCTTGGTTTTTGTGTGAAAATTGCAATCTCTAACTCAACTGCTCCAAGATTTACTACTCATTTTGGGAATTTTAGATAAGAATTATCTGTGGTACTTTGATTTTTCAGAGAATGAGTTTACATATATCTTTTTCTTATTCCTGGAAAACAGGCAAGTGAGGTTGGAATTATGTTCTTTTATGACTGTGATTTGTCAGTGACCTTGTATGAATTCTCAAGATAATCAGTGATGGGGTTAGTACAAACTTTTATCTTATTAAGATGTAAAATATCTCTTTCCACTGCTTTTCATCCTTTCTGTCCTGCCTCTTCGTGTTTGAACTATTGCTTTTTTCCATCCACAACACACTTTCTACTACTTCCATCCAACACATCCTAAGTTTCTAGAGCTCTTGGGAATTGGTGTGAGCCAGAACTCTTGGGCTGTACTACTGCCTCTCCCTAGCTTTATGCAAGTCACCATGACCAACATTAGGTAAAATTAGTGAAGTTTTGGTCTTTTCGGGTGCTGCATCTAATGATTTCAGAGAGCAGTTCCTCCCAGCTAAAAGGGTGTTTTATTTTAATCAAAGCTAGTATCAGTTTGTTTTCCAACGTGAAAGACTGAGTGAAGCTGGGTAAGTCCAGCTACCCTCTTACCTGCTCACATTGAGTTTTTAAGTTTTAAATTTTTGAGAGCACAAAGTGAATCTGAAGGCCACTGGTGGGAGAGCGAGATTTGGCTGCAGGTCAGGCAAGGGTAGCTGTGGAGTGGCAGCAGGTCCTCTCTGGCTGGAAGCTAGAGGGCACCCAGGCTCTGCCTGCCTCCAGAGCCCTGGGAAGCATCTGCAGCAGTGCATCTGGGAGCCTTTTCTCTGCATCACGGGCCTTGTTTACCACAGTTCTGTTCTGTTATTCCCTCTGGCCCTACGTGTTCTGAGCAGTGTTTCATAACATGGGAAGCAAACGAACGACACAGCAACAGAGAGGGAAGGCACTTACCCAGCACATTGACAATCACAGATTTTTGACTCTGTCCAGCATCACCCTGAGGGCTGAAAACTTCACAGGTGTAGGAACCAGTGTCTGAGGGCTGCATGTTGGAGATTGTTATTGATGCATTCCCTGGACCTGTTGCAGCTGTTATCCTGTTCTTAAATGCTCCATAGGAGTAAGACTGGCCTCCTGAATAATAATAGATCTGTGATAAAGAATCAATTGTTAGTTTAATGACAAGAGATCTTCTTGCTGCTTGCTTTGGTACTCATAAGATTGTTGATTTCTGATGAAGCCGAGCAGTGTCACCCCCTGTCTTGCCCCTTTTCCCAAGAAAGCAGAAATAAAAACATCATACATTTGAATGTATATTTGTAATGGTTCTTAAAAGACAAGCTTTTCAGAAATGGCATTTTTAATTTTGTAATTGACAGTAACGAGATCGAAGCACAGACTGATGCATTTGCAAGACAAAGGTGAGACCATTGACCATCATATGAAAATTCTATGAAAAAGTGTTAAGTCCTGGACAGTGAAGAGTGGTATCAATTGAAGTACTGATAATTTGTGATATTATTAATAAGTGGCTCAACAGAAGATTATGACAAGGATGGGCCTGTCATTGCAAAAACTGGGTGACAGTTCCCCAGCGTCTACATGCACAAACTAGGCAAAGTGAACAGTTCCAGCACCCTCAGTCATTTCTTTAAGCTGGTGAGAGGTAACCATATAGAATTACAGGTTGTCACCCAAATGGATATACCATTGTTCCTCCTGATATTTCAGAATCAGCAGTGTAAATGTATTTATTGAACTAACAGCATGTTTTTTAATTGAAATAGTGGGAAAATGCTTGTAGGAAAAAGCTTCACAAACTCCTCTGGAATGCCATTCACACCTGACTAGTATCAAAATTTTCTTTTGGTCAAAGTTCTCTGCCTTCTAGGGACACTGTAGATCCCTGGGCGACAAGTATAATTTGCTTTACTTTGCAGATCAACTGATTGCATTTTGAATTAAGAATATTTATTCTTAATTCTATTTATCCACCCTGATATGGTGTTGACTGAAGTCTTTAAGCAATGTTATCTGAAAGCCTTTATTAGCTTAAGGCAAGGTACACCCCAAAACTGTCAGAGCACAGCTGGTTTATGCAGTGATACAGCTTTGAAATGAAGGTCAGAACCCAGGCTGCATAGCACCAGCAGCTCCAGGACTGCAGCTTGGCCCCATCTCAAGTGCAGCTTTGCATACTCCTCAGCCAGACTTTATCTTTCCCTGCCCCAGGATTACAAACACCAGGTACAGTTGATGCAGGGCTCTGAACACCAAAGCATTCCCCAGGTGTGGAACCCTGGTGTTGCAGTGAGGAAGCATAAGAGCTCCAGGTTAGCACAGTGACAGACTTGGTTACAAAGTCTGCTGGAGAGACCCCCTAGTTTCCATTATGTGCATGTGATACCATCAGTTTTCAAACTGATTTTATGCTTTGCAAATGTTTGGAGATGTATCTCTGTTGCAGAACTAATGTCTGGATGCACACTCAGTGTATTCCCCAGGGAAGGAGAGTATTCAAATAGGGAGTTTGGTTTAAACAAATTGCTCATCAAAAACCTGGTCTGCCTGGAATTACAAAAACACACTGGCCACACTGGTCTCATTCTACGTTTATCTGAGTATGAGCAACAACAGAGTGTTATTTATCACTGTATTAAGTTACAAGAACTGTGACTTCTGACTTCAGACTCCTCTTAAGCTGATGTCCCTAGATAGCTCTCAACAGTGATGGGCTGGATTTCCATCTCCATTCCATGAAGCTTCCATCAGCTCTTTACACTAATGTGAAATTAGGTTCTACAATGATCTAAATGAAGTAACCTGTGTCTTACCACAGCATGAGAGGAGTGACAGGCCCTTCATACCCTACTAAAAGGCCTGATTGCTGGAAAAAGGGGCTAAATTCTACTCAGTCTAACTCAGAGTGATGTGGGATTTATGTGAGAGTAGCAGGAGGTGCCCACTGAGAATTAGCTTAGCTACAGCACATGTTCCTGGGAAATAGGACTGGCATTGAGTCTGAAATGCAGTCAGGGTATGCCAATAAACACAATAGAGGAGCAAGTGCTCCTTGGTATATTTGACCTGAAGTCAGGGTGAACAATGTGTTTAAGTCCTCATACAATGCACTGAGAAATGAATTCCCTGTGCTCTCTCCTTCTGATTGAATGAATGCAGGGAAAATATTTTGTGTACACTGCTAAATCTGAGGCAGATGTCAACACAGCAGAGACTATTTTTTTTCCTTCATGGATTTAAACAGAGTCTTTCTGGGTTGCTGGGGTTTTTTTTGGTTTCAAGTATGAACATAAAGGCAATGGAACATCCTCAGGTAATGTATTCAGTTCCTCTGCAGGCTCCTGCCTGTTCTCTGTTCTGCTCCTGTTCGATGCTTATCTTGCTGGCTCTGGAGTTCATTGCCTGAAGGAAGGTGGTAAACACCAAAAAGGCTGAGTAATGTTGTGATTAATTACTGAGTGTATATCTTGTCCCAGAGGTATGATTGAATTGTGTACACAGGAAATTTCATTTAAGAGGAACATGTTTTAGTTAATTGGCTGTGAATTCACAGCCCATTTTAAACAATACACTCAAAATGGCTATTTTAAACCCTTGTTCAAAGTGGGTTTATGCTGTCCTTGAAAATCTTGTTCCTGGCTCTCAAAAAACTGAAATAAAAATCTTTGCAAAAATGCTTCTGTTCCAATTCAAGAGTAAAAAAACTTGTTTTCTGTTGAAGATATGGAAGACTATTTTTGGGCAACTGATAGTTAATGTTTCCTCCTACAAACACACATCTCATTGACATTTCTTTCCATTTTACCTAAAATGTCTGTATGGAAAAACTGTATTTAGTCAATGGTAGACTTTTTCTGGAAGCCTTTTAATCTGATGTGATAGATATATTTTAAGTGCACCGTCTTGAATGCAAAAAAATACGAAAGAAATCTGTGCTTCTCTTGAAAAAATACACTTTTCATGTCCTGAAGCAAATCATGAGTAGCTCTAGTGGAGTCGATGATTTACCAGAGTATAAACAATTTTGAGGGTGCAGTAATAGTTGCTGCTTCTCCTTACCAGCTAGTTTGCTCAGGCAAGTTTTTATATTAATGGTGCCTTTTCACATTTCATGGCAGCAGCTGCCTGGGATGACTAATCAAACAACTGACTGCAAGAAGAGCGGAGATTATCACTCCTAAAACTGCTGTCCCTAATAACTTCACAATCTGAGACACCAGTTTCTGCAAAGCAGCCAAGTTGCCCAGAAAACATCTCCCTGACCTTAGAAAGGGTTGCAGTTCAGTTGGTTATTCAACCTGTGGGCCAGGTGGTGCCTGGAGCTGCTCTCAGCAGCCATCCATCCTTGTGGGCTTTCTAAGGCAGTGGTGCAGTTGCTCTGCATTTCCACAGCCAGTTTCTGCTGCAACCAAGAAAAGGATTTTGGCCCATAGGCTTCCATAAGTCCATTATTCATGTACCTGTTTGGGGCAGCTGGGTTACAAACAGACCAGGGAATTGGGAAGGATCATACTCATTTGGAAGAAAATCTTGATAATCTCAATGCACTCCAGATGCTGGAGACAATATTATCTGTGTCCCAAATTCTGGAGGATCTGGTACATGAAATCACATGTACTTTTCTTTTCCTTCTTTGTGGAAAGGCTGCTCCTCTTCTAGAGGGATGGTGAGGAAAGTTTTTGCCTGCAGAGGAAGCAGTTGGCAAAGCTGATGCTGAGTTGAAGATTTTCAAAAGCTGCCAGATGTTTGGCAGCATGTGAGGAACCCAACTGCAGGTTTTCTTTATACAAATTCTATAGAAATATCTTCCTTAGGGTGTGGAGGGGGCGTGTGAGAAAGCAGTCAGTAAATTAGGAGAAACATGCTCCCATCTGCTTCCTTTCTTCTCGGGACAGGACAAATATATACTAGGATTTGCATAAATATGTGTCATTCAAATCTCTTTGGATGGACTCATTCATAACTTCCAGGTCAATACTCCTCCCAACCCCCATCTCCTGGAGTCACAGCATCACATTGCTGTACATGCCCCGTGCATATGGATATCAGAGCTATGAGATGAGATGTACTTGAAGATGTGTTAGAAAATGTCCACTGAATCTCCACAGAACTTTTGACTCCCTGACTGGGGGGCAGTTTCAGGACATGACTTCCTTTCCAGTTCCCTCCCCCAGCCCCTTCTCCCTTTCCCCACCAGCACATGCAAAGCTGTAGCATCCTGTTCCATGACGTTTCTCAAGGCTGATGGATTCAGTGTGTGACTCACGGTCTTTGCCTGGAGAGCTGGAAAGCTCAGGCGTTCAGAGGGCCCCATCATTGGGTTGGTTTGTCATTTTCTGTTTGACATTTTCTCAAGCTACCAGAAAAAGAACTGTTAAAGTCTCTTTCTCACTGATAAAAGCAGGGGAAGACTGGTTTGAGATCGTGATCTCATTTTGAATTCTGAGGACAGACAGAATTTATAAAATAACAACAAGGTAAAAAATTTTCATCACTCCCCTAAGCATCTTACCATCTAATTAGAGAACAAATGCCACGCACTGAGAGTGTTAATGAAGGCCCAAGGCTCAGATTCTGAACTCGAGTAGATAAGAAAGGAAATGCTTACACGTGCATCGGTTTCTTTGACAGTGTGTCACATGATTTGGTCTGGGCCCAAATGCCTTATTTCATCCACAGCTTCTTTTCACACATTTTTGCCAAAACTCTGATCTGCTAGAAGGTAGTAGGGATATTAAATCCTGCATTACTGGGGTTTTTGCATGGGTAATCAAGGGTGTTAACAGCGACTAGAAGTGTCTTGTTGCAATAGTGCATTAGTAGAAGAGAAAAGGGAGTCAGAAGCCTTTAGAGGATTAATCATTCAGCAGCTTTAACTGGTGCAGAATACTTTTGAGGAGCAGCTCTTTGATGTTCTCATAGTATCGTTCTTGGGGCTGAGCTATTAGTAAATAATTCCTACAGTGCATCAAGCACAAACATGTTTTCTCAGTGCCTTTGGTGTAACTGCTCTTCAGCAGTTATTATTAGAGCTCAGTTTACATTGGGCTGTGCCCTGTACTTCATGGTGAGACAGGAATCCCACTGCAGTCAAAGAGACTTTGGAATGGATTACAGCTGGAACGCTGAGCTGACAGCTGAGAGGAAGCCAGTTCAGCAGGCAGCTCTGTGTCCTCTGTATCCACTGCATCTCAAAATGGTTTTGTATTCTATAAAGGAGATCCAGGATGATTTTTTTTTCCTGTGTAAATATGTAGCCCCAAATTTGGGCTATCCAAACTTGCTTACATTCATCCCAGAGACTCCTGATGTGTGGATATGCCCTTCAGGTACCCTTTGGGTAGAATATTGTTGAAGGTGCTAGTTCAGCCACCTAGAATATCTGTGGTGGAAAAAAAAAAAAAACCAACCAACAGCTACATCCAAAATAATTTTGATAGAGAAAAAATGCAATAAAAAAGAGGGTGAGTTAAAAATCCTGAATGATACATCCAATTCAATTTATCCCAAGTCATGTGCTAGTTTTAAGATTTTAATCCAGGACACGAATATATGTTTCACAGCAGCATAAATCCATAAATCTAGCAGAAGCTATTTAGCTCTTTTTTTCCCTTAAGATTATGGCAATTGTTTTCTTACCTTGTATCTCCAGCTACATCTTCCCCGTGCATCTGTCACATACACCATCTTTTGACATTGACTGACTGACTTTTCATCCATACTCAGAATACCGTGACACGGGGAATGCTGTATTTGAGTAAAAACGTGCTGATCTGAGAGTTAAATGAGACTTTAAATGTTCCCCCAAAATCAAAGAGCCTTCTCTCCACACAGCTCCCACCTACCATCAGTGCTGATCACAAGGGCAGGGTGCCTCGTGTTCAGCAGATTTTGCAGAAGATCCCTCAAGCCTTGTCAACCACGAGATGCAATAGAAGCTTATTTCTAAGTTTTACATAAAATTAGGCAAACTAAAATTGAAGCCTGATGTTTGCTCCAAACCCCCTAGTGTTACAACCTGTTAATTTTCTACTTATCTGCACTTTCCTTTGTGATAAGCACAGGTAGTCCACCATAATCCCACTGACATCCAGGGAGTCACTCCAGTTGCAGTGACGTGACAACAGCAGCTCCGTTCCTCTGCACTGGAGGTGTTGCCTCTGCTTTCTGTGAAGCTCTTCTTTATAAGTGCCTGCTCAGTCATCTAAGTGCTAGATAAAACTCAATTTTAAAAAATCACCTCTAGGCAGAAAGAAATGCTGATGTATCAGAGAGGCCCTTTCCAGGGAGTTTTCCTGTAATACTTTAGGATGTGCTCTCACATGGTAGCCCAGTGCCCACAGCCGTGCCTTGCTTTGTGCTGGGCAGCAGAGTTGTGCTGGCACTGATATCCTGAATTTGGGAGTTCAGGGTGAAAGGAGCCAACACAGCTGTGCTCAGATCCCTCTTCTTGCCTCTTTTTCCTTCCTTGAGCTTTCCTTCCCTGTCGCCTGTTGCTGACCAACATGCCATAAGCATGCTCCCACTTTGCAAAGTGGCTCCTCAGGCCTGCAAGAGTGGGAGTGAGGACAGGAGCAGATTGTTCACAAGGGAGCAGTGCCATCCTCCCCTTCTGTAAGGGGTGCAGCGAGACCCTCCCTGCTCCTGTCCATAGAGTTCTACTTTCTTGGTAGTACAGAGGTGAGAAAAGGACAGGGCAGGGTGAAAGCATAATATAAAGCATAATACATAAAATAAATGGAAAATATTCTTCTTGTTACATGCTGCCAACACTCTTCCCCTCTCAAATGCCCATCAGTAATTTTACCAAAGAAGTGTCAATGTCACTGTTTGCAAATATTTCAAGCTTGCTTTTTTTTTTTAGAGAGCATTTTCATAAGAAGTTTAGCAATAATTCTATTTCTCCTACGAATAACAGGCATCCATGACCTTTTACTCATCTAGTTGAATTTAAAATTTCAATCAAGAGTCCTGCCCTGGGCACATCTTTTGTAGCCAGGCGGTGTCCCTGCTAATTTCACTGACTTTAGCTGTGGGTGGCCTGGGCTGGAGGCTCAAGGTGTGGCCCTGGTTGGGCTCAGGAGCTGTATTTAGCTTTGCAAGGCTGCAGCCTCGCCTGTGCAGAGTCAACAGAGGCTTCAGGCTTTCAAACATTTACTTAGGTGCTTTACACTGAGGCCAGCCGAGTGACTCAGAGCATGAAATGAAGCACAGATGTAGGTCTTAGCAGGAGCTGAGACTTTACCTTTTGAACCAGGCCAGGCTGTGATGTACCCTGGGTGAGCTGAATAAGTAGTGTTTGCCTCAGATTGTCTAGATGTAAAATAGAGATAGCTCAGTATTGGAAAGTTCTCAAGATCCTTGACTGGGAGTTATTATTTAAAAATTAAATTTGTCATTAAAGGACACGTTGCTAAGGGCTAAATGGAAAGAAGAAAAAGTCAAAAATATATATGGCATCCTATTTTCCATGATTTTATGCTTACATTATTGAGTTCAAGCAAGGGGAATTACTTCTACTGAAGAAACTTCTTAGGAAAAGAGCAGAGTTAGGCTCAATTAGTAAAAAGCTCTTATATTCACACACTATATATAGCTGTGCTGCCTTCAAAACAGTGCTGTGAACACCTGCCACTGCTGTTTGCTGCCTGCCTTTCGTCGTGCTGCCTGTGAGCTGCCTGGCTGTGGTTTCACCCTCGCTGCTGTAACCACCGAGGGCTGATCTGTGAGCACCTGCACCAGCCCTGGGAAGGGGGGGCACTGTGGGGCAGGGGGTGAGAACACCACAACCAGCAGCAAAAGCCAAAACCAGCCTCACAAAGGCTGTGCTGGGAGGCAGATCTGCCCAGTGAGGAACAGCACGGCCTCACCTGCAGGCAGGGTAAAATCTGTTGGTGAATACTCAGGGGCATTAAATTAGCACTAGCCCTGATCCTGGTCTTACTGATTTCACCCCAGACATGACTGTACCTGAGCCTATGTACAAAACACTGCAAAACACGTACTGTAAGTGGCAGGGGAAAATAAAGGGCTGTCTATGACCTCTGCTTATTATATGTTGTGTTCTAAAATCTAGTAATTTAAACCTCCTGTTCATTAATGCTTCAAGCCAAAAGCATCCTAATGGCATAAATTTGCCTTAATTAATTGTGACATTCTACAGTTTGCTTTATTATTTGCTGCCACTGTAGAGAGACAGGGACATATTCTCAATTATTTGAATAAACAGTATTTATTAAAATCAAGATTATTTCCCCACACATACTTGTTATGGAGAACATCCCCTCTCCTTAATCTTATGATTCTCAATATACTGCCCATGTGAACAAGAGGGTCATCAAGACATCTACCATTTAGTAAGATGACAGGAATACTTAAAATGTAGCATGTGGGAAAAGTATTTTCTGCTTTTCTTTTTGAAAAATTGTAAGTCTCCTGCCTTCAAAATATTTGGCAGAAATGTTCAGCTTTCAAAAATGGAATTTGAAAATGTTATCCATTTAGTTGCTGAAAAAACCGGGAAATTTTGAATAGAGCCAGAATTTTCAACAAACTATTTCAGGGCAAATATATGCTATTTATAAGGAAGTGTTTGTTTATCATGTACATGTTAGAAGAATCTAAATATCTCATGCAATTAAATAAACTTAGTCCACTTAAAATGCAAGCTGTTGTTCTGTTATTCAGTAAGATATGGTGCCAGTCTTTTCAATATAGTTAGTTTTGTCATTTTACCAGCATATTAAATATATTTTTGACTTGCATTTTGGTATTGTTTTACCTAAACAATGAAAGCCAAAGCTGGCAATCTCCTCTATTGCCATACATATGTTTCCTGCTTGGAACAAAATGTGAAACTTAATTCACCTATGTGCCAAGCCACTGGGGCAAAGCCAGGTTTGTAGAGAGATTATTTTTCTTGTTTAAACTTGTAGGAGAAACACATACAGGCTTTCAGGCCTTTCTGAAACTCAGAAAAGTCACAAACCTGAAATAGAAATAGCAACCTTATGGGGAGGGAGGGTGAAAATCTAATTTCATGTTCATCTGTGTTGTGTAATTTCTTAAACCATATTTTCCACAGGCAGTCACAGTCTGTCCTTCCCAGTGTTTGCATTAACACCGTTAATTTTTTTGTGAATAGATTCAAAATGGTAAGGAATTGCCACACTGTGGTAAAAGGACACAGGGTCAAATAATACAAGACTGAATGTGCTGCTGAAAGCCTTTTAGAAAGAGCAGTGCCCCAGTCCTGCAGCTCTTCATACACGTGCACCCTCCAGGCACAGCACCAGGCTCGGAGCAGCAAAGGGGACCCTCTGAGCTTCCCTGAGCCCGACAGCCAGGGAGAAGTGGCACTGCAGGGAAAGGAGATTGGACCTTGGTGTTCAAGGAGAATGGGATTAGCCACTAACCTGTGGCCTTTCCAGACTGAACCAACTTTATTTAATGAAAATGCAAATCATCCATTGCGAATGTGTTGCGGTGTGAAAGTGAATTTACCGTGAAATTAGTTTCAGATGGGGAGAACCAGCTGAAATTTTTCTCAGTATTGTTTCTTACAGTCCTTTTAGGCACAGCTTTGCCACTGCCTGCAGTGAGAGCTGCAGGAGCCAGGAGTGAGCACTGGAGGGATTCATCCATCAGGTTTCCCTGACATTTGGTAGTCTTGCATCAGTTAATTCTTGTTGAGTATATTCTGAACCACCCACAGTATTTTATGATTATAATTCTCAGGGGGCATTTTTCTCATCATTGGTCACAGTTTACAAACGGGTTTCCCCTCCTGGATCTCTTGAAACTGTGTGATTCTCCCTCTAAAATACTTATAACTACAATCTGCTTATTTCCCTTGGTTGTAACCAGAAAATGCATTTATTGTCTTGCAATATGGAAAATTTGATGCAAGTAGAACAGAGACACTCTAGCCAAACCTGAAGAAGATGGGCTTGATCCTATCTCAGTACTGCCCTTCCCACCTGAACAAGTGATTAAAATTTAAGATGTAACATACTGGATCAAGATGATAATATATTGTACTATGTACAATTTAGAAAACCTGTAGCTACCACCCTTTCATGAATAATTATTCATTTAATAAAATAGTTTTAACTTGAGAAAAGCAAACAGTGAGTAACATCTACTCATACAATTAATCAGGTAAGGTATGCCTACATCAGTTTGGCATTCAGCTCGAGTCAGAATTTGGGATGGGCCCAGACTTTGTACTTGGCACTGATACAGGCTTTATCTGTGGCTGTGATACACTGCAGGAGGGTAAGCAGTTCTGTCTTAGGTTAAATTGCCATTTCTTATATATTGTCTATAGCTGTTCAATGCCAAATATGTTACATCCTGCACATTCTGCAATTTACAGATGGACTAATTCTGCTATAAGTGATACACCAAATAGAAAGTTTAACTCTATCAACAATGGCAAGCTTCCCATCGTAATATTATTAGGAAATTGGTGAACGTGACAAGAATATCCTCAGTGTGGACTGTGACACTCCTCTAAGTCAAATCTATTTACATCAACTCTCAGCTGTAACACCAGGCAGGAGGACTGAACTCTTAGAAAAGAAATGTTAGCAACGGGATAAAACCAAACTAATTGTTTCACAGGCACAAGCCTTACTCCAGGGCATGGGAAAAAAATCCCAGTCATCTTCAAGGATGCAGTAACACTTCTAATCAGCATTTCTTCTTGTAAAGGAAGGTGTTGCTGGCTGCTTAGCACCTGTCAGGACTGAGCTGATGGGAATTCATACCTTGTGTGTTATGCTGGGAGTGAATTCATTTCCCCACCAAAATGTAAGATTAACAGACAGCTCTTGAAGTTTGGGCAGTAGTGTGAGTATATAAAGGAAGTTACACCCCCTGTCCCTGACTCCTTCCAGGCAAACCAGGCTGCTCTGCAAGGTTTTTACAGCCACATGAGAGGCTTGGGCAGTGGTTACAGCATGTAGCTCTCTGGTTTTGGTGTCCCACACAATCCCCATGCTGCCTCCGTGCTGACACTCCAACCTACCACATGGTCTCATTACACCCCTGGAGTAAGACACTATTTGGCTTTGCAGCCTCTCAGGTTCTCTGGAAGGCCAGGGATTATTTGCCTTTAATCTGTCATTGTTCTGCTTCCACAATGACAGCTCTGGGATGCCCTGAAATACCAATGCAAGTTTGCTGTGGCGAATTTCCTGCTGTAAGAACTTTCTGCAGAGTCCTGCCAAAATACTCCCTGCTCACTTTGTGCTGATAGTCCATTGTCATGCATCGTTCCTCTTACTGAGCCACTGAATTAAGGAGCTCTTGTTTGACCCTTAAATGGGGAACACATTGTCAGAGGCAAGGGCGTCTCACCAGGAAAGCAGCCTTCACAATGGCAGGAAATATCTGCCAGACAAGAGAAAAGGGAGCTGGTTCAGGGGCTGCAATGCTTGTGTGATTTTTTGATACCTGGTCTTTGCTTCACACTTCCTGTGTGACTTGGAGCAAGTTGTTTGATCATCTGAATCACTTTTGTAACTTCTCATCAGTTTCTAAAGGAATTCAGGATGCCAGTGGGATCCAGGAGCCCAGATAATTTGTGCATCTGCCCCTAAATTTCACTGCATCCCAGTCCTTAGTCCTTAGGGTGGGAACACCAACATTACCTGCCTCCCTGGTCTGTAGTAAGGATAACCCTACCAGATGTAACAAGACTCTTTGAAGACTTAAGGATATCTAAATATAATTTCATAATAATAATAAATAAATATCTTACAGTGTGCAGCTGGCTCTCTTTGGCACTGTAAAAGCTCCACTGAATGAAGAAGTTTCCCAGCGGTGCAGAGCTCGTGTACGTGCAGAGGAGGGTGGCATTTCCACCTGTAGTGACATTCACTGTCTTCTCAGGGACAGTCACCACAACGCCGCCGACGTGGCCTGTGGGCAGAGAGTGTGGTGAGGAGAGATCACCCAAGGAGAGATCAGGCCCTGGGAGCTGTGCAGGAGTGTCTCACTCCCTGTGTTAGCAAAGGAACCCACAGGACATGTCTAGTTCTCCTTTCCAGTACGGTTTCCCTTGGGCCTTGTGTGGAAATTTCAGTGATAACGAGCTGGGAGTGGGTAAAAGCTAGCAAGCAAATAAATCCCCCAGAACACCTGTGCCCTTACAACAAGTAATCTGAAAAAGCAGTGTTCCTAAACCTGTACTTGCTCTCACTTGCAATACTCATCTTCTCACTAAGAGCTTGTGGCTAAACCGAACCTTTCTTCTGCACTTGCAGTGCTCTCCTGTGCTTGCACTCTCATCCACAGCTATGTCTTGCCCTCTTTTCCAACCTTTTTGTTTTTTTTTTTTTTGCTGTTATTCTTTTAGATGTCTGATCTCCTTCACTGGGGAGCACCATCACCTGTTGTCTCTTTCATTCTTATGTTCTGACTGGGACTCCATGACACTGTTGGGTCTCTCAGGCTGGAGCCCAGCAGCCTTTGGCTGCTTTTCTTTTGCTAATTACTTTGCTTTTGTTTAGATTTCTTAGGGTTTACATCCAGAAGCTGGTTTTTTTCCACACCAAGCCAAGCTTTTTGAATGTGGGTTGTGTGACGTTCTGTGATAACTTGATCAACCCTTTTTGCTGTGCTCAAAGCAGAGAGGGAGCAAACATGACCTGTGAGCCCTTCCCCATAATGTTCTGATCAGTCTTGAGTACAAAGTCATAGAAATGAAAGGAATCAAGCACCATGTTACAGTGTTTATCTGTTTCTATCCTCTCTGTAACCAGCAATGGTGACACACAGCAACAAAGCCTGAACTGTCAGAAACATGCATCTGAATTTCAGGGGGTTTGTAGGTCGCTGAGCCCAGTTTTAAAGCTACTGTCTAAAGATTCAGAAGGAGAATATATTTCTTTTGAATGTGATGGAAAGCATAAGTCTTTTTGAGATTTCTTTGCAAAACAGGCAACTTGAGAATTTCATCTTATAATAATATTCATGTGGGTTTATTGCACGTATTAATGATAGAGGCAAAACATGTAAAATATTCTTCTCAATGTAATATCTGTGCATTTTATGTTCAGGTGCTGCTTTTGAGAGTTTAAGCAGAACCTCCAGTAATACCAAATGCTGAAATTATCAGCCCAGTGAGAGAAAACATTGTTTAAAAAGCAAACAATCTATTTTGATATTTTTAACCATATAAATACTGCAGATTTTTCAGTTGCTACAGTATTCAAGCCTATCTGAACTCTGGGTACTATTTTCCTTTTTTGATGGCTTCAATAGTAAAAGCTCACTGCAAGGAAGAAAGGAATAATCTACTTTCCATGTTGATGGAGCTAGGATGAGAATTAGTGGGTTTAAACTACAACAAGATTTATATTACATGTGACGATAGTCTCACAGGAATGGCTGGAGACTGACCTAGATGTGTCAAACCTGCCTTGGGGAAAGAAGGGATCCCAGGGCTGGCTGCCAGTCCTACTTGTCTTGTGAGTTCACAGCAGCTTAATCCGTACTGAGATCCAATATAAAAGCTGTGTCATATTATTTTAGGTATCTCAGTTCGCAGTTCTCAGCTTTAAGCATTAGTGTTGGCCAGAGGATGATAGTTTCTTGCCACACAGTTTACACGTATTTATTTTCTGCTCTTTGCAGGATTAAAGCCACGGTCTTGCAACACAGTGTCATTCTACTGAAAACATCCATTTTCCAGTCATCTGCTCCACGTATTTCCTTTATAATTCTCTGGTTTTGGAGTCAGGAGTGCCACAGAGCCTGACAGTTATAAGCTTTTCCGGCAGAAATGAATTTTTAGCAGAGACAAGCATTCTAGTTTCCATAAAACTGTATATTTTGAAGAAATACAATTAATTGAAATAGGCTTCACTCCAGTGAAAAGATAAAGTCAAAGCCTGTAAGACTGACCTTGTCCAGTGAGCTATTTAAAGCCAACACTAATTGCAAGATGGAGCTTTTGACTGACAGTGGAGTGAACTGGACCCACAGAGCCTGTTCCCTCATCACGGATGTTAATGGGAGTTTCGCTTTGCATTTAGTTCACTGTTTACACTTTCTAACCCCTAATCCCATTTCATACATACAGGCCTTTTGGTTTAAATGATAAAAGTGCATGAGGAAGAACTAGCTCAGTGAAAAAAGCTAGTGTGAACATGACCACAACTTGTTTAGAACAGTTGATCCATGTCTTTCACTCATCAATATTATGGTAAGGCCTTTTCCTTCCTACAGAGAAAGTCTTTGCAGTTAATTTGGAATCTCCCACTTTCACTGAAGTCCTTTGCAGTGTTTAATGCTCATGAAGTAAATCCAAGTTTGCTTAGCTTTTTCTAGCCACGACAGAAACCACCAGTCAGTGGCACCCATCAGTCTGGACACACTGCTAGTCTTAAATCCAGAACTTTCAAATTAGAAGACATTGTTTTGAAAAGTATTGGTTCCAACTCTGAATTACTTTTCATTTCTAAGGTAAAAATCTGTTGGCTTTCTGTCTGTGGGAGAGTTAGAACACTGAAAGACCAGGAGTATTAATATTTAATATTTAAAATATTTTGATGGCATCCAAACCAGATAATTCCATCTTGAAAAGAACACGTGGAAACTAACTTCCATTTTCTGTAGTGGATACAGGGGCTGTTCATCTCCATGGAACATTAGACTTAAAATGCCTGCTTCTGTATATATTAAGAGTAAAGCTTAGCACAATGAAATGTCCTTGAAACATTAATAACATATAATCTTTAATATGCCATATAATTCCTAGATTCCACAAAATTTATGTTAGCACTTAACTTCAGGGAAATCCAAAGATTATTTGCATGCTTAAAGTTAAACATCCCCCCAAATTTTTAGACGGCAGTGGGACTGAGTCATCATTTCCCAACCCTATTACCAAGGGGAGACAAGAGCTGAATGTGGGAAAACCCAACCTTGAAACACTTGAAAGACCCAAACGCTCCATGCAAGAGCTCTTTGCCTCTTCCTGATGTTAGAGCAAAGCATTAATCTACCAAAGCTAAAATTCTGTTCTGGAGCAAAAATCTCTTACCAGGCAATGGTCAGTTTGCAGATTTCCACAAAATGGCCTAGTAGTACAGCCTTGATTTTCATTCCATCCTGAAATAGATCATCTTGAATGTTCTAGTTTGCTAGTCAGGTTCATCTGCTCTCTCACTTCAGCAAGTTCTTTAGTCCAGTGCTATTTCTATCAGTTTGTTATTCTTACCTGCGAGGACGGCAAGAATTGAAAATATCTTCAGCATCGTTGCACACATTGTCTTGACTCTAGGAGAGAAAAGAGACCAGATGCTGCTTCTGGCTTCAACTGAAACTCAACTGTTTTATTTTTTGGAGTCGGTTTTTGTTTTCCTTATCAGCTGTGTATCACCACGTCAGTGAGCTGTTTCATACTCCTTTATCACGTGTGTGCCTTTCTCCGACTTGTGGTGTGACGGTTCACTTGAAACCATTTTATGGGGCTTGAGCAACTAAGGGTTTTGTTAATAATAAACCTTTGAATCAGAGAACCCCAGGTTCCCCCACTTTTGCCAGGGCCCAGCAGTATTTGTCCACCTAAGTAATTCCACTGAGTACAAGAAAAGTATTTGCAGAGCTATTTTACAGTCAATCTGATTACCAGTGTTGGAGTCAGGCCTAATATGAATAAGGAATAATCTTTATTTCCTTTTAATGCTATAATTTGTTTTCAAAAATGGGCATGTGGTGATAATACATTGGCAGTACATTTTCACTTTCAAACATATATCTTATACAGTTTTATACAGAATGATTACATTGGACTCAGGATTGCCTTCAAATTTCCGTATTGAACTCATCAATAAGAAAACATACCAAAATAAAGATCAAATAAAAGTTATCTTCTAAACAGGTAGCAAAATCTGTTTCATGCAGTTTTAATCCATGAAGTTCAATGTTACTAATTAAAAAAATGACAAGGTGAAAATACTGATTTTTACCTAATTGTTAATACCGGATTTATATAGTGAAAAAAGCAGTGGGTGGAGGTTAGAACCTGAAGAATTAGAATAACTTAGATTTCTTTGTCCTTAATGGTTGCAAAACATCCTCTCTGCAGCTCATTAGGAACTGAAGGTGCTCAGCTTCCTTTTTGTGTTGTGTCATTTGACTGAGGCTAATTCCAAGCCCCAGGCTGCAGTGGGAGTAGCTGGCTCTGTGTGAGAGTGAGTGGCTGAAGAGGTAACAGAGGGCAGCATTGCCTTTTAGATGTGTGCCTGCACCTAGGAGCAAGGCAAGTAAAATAGCCAGTGACTTTTTTCCATGCTTGTTGAAAGCATGGGTCTAGTTAATGCCTGATGATCCCATCTTTCTAGTGGCAGGCAAGAGCAGCCACCTTTTCCCTGGGAGGAGCCCTGGTATGGCATGGGAAGCCTGTTTGGAAGGTGGGGCTCAGCATCTGGCCAGGTTGGAGGGGAGAGGTATGTCCAGAGTCTCCCTCATCTCCCATGTGATGTGGTGGTACATTCTTCAGCATAGAAGTTGTGAGTTACTGGTTGCATCAGTTACTGTTGGGATCAGATTTATGGACTTAAATTAATTTTATTCTCCCAGATATTTCTGTGTGTGGCAGATGCTTGAATAATCTCTGGACAGATGGTAGGGTTTGGTGATATTCATATATGGGCCATCTCCAAAAGTTTTAAAAAGGATGTCTTTTCCTTATTTCTGACTATCAGAACTTCACACAGCATTCCCACAGGGCTGGCAGTGCTTGTCTTTAAGGGATGGGAAGGGCAAAATTTGGAACAGTTAAATGTCTCATGCAAGGATTCACAGGTGACCCAAAGTCCAAAAAGGAATGTGTACGTTGAAAGACTGAAATTCAAATTCAGATTTCTTCCAAAAGTTGAAAAGCATTTATATTCACCTTCACTAAGGAAGCATGGAGTGATTCCAAGTGCACATGGCAAGTTCTCACTGGCTTTCCCCGAGTCAGCCTAAAATGGGAGCTGCTGCTGATTTCCAGTCATTTAGTTATGGATGAGCACAAATGATCTGAACATGAGACAACCTACAGACCCATTTCAGTGCTTGCCTGTGGCTGCTCCATAATGCCCAGGAGTCTGACTAGTAGCTCACAGAGCACTGATCCTTTGCAAAAGACAGCAATTTTCAAGAAGATGCAAAAAAACGTTGCCACCCTGCACAGCAAGGCAGCACCTGCACAGTCCTATATCTTTACCACAATATCAGTGTGTCCTCTAATTCCCTCTCATTTATCAACACTGAAGTCCTTTCTCTGGCACTTAAGGCCCCTTCAGCTAATATATATATACACATATATAATGTACCCTGTTACATTCTATTTTTGCCAATTACTACATTCCTAGAGGGTGAAATGCTCAGTCTGACAGGGAACAGGAGCCACTTCTACACTAATATGTGCCTGTTTAAGCTGGGGCCACAGGGCTGAGGTTGCCAATTCCAGAGTGGGTGTAGCTCATAGCAAATGATGGCAACCATCCATCCTGTTTTACAGGGGATACCGAACACCAGGAGCATTTCCATTTGACTATTACCCGCCTGGGGCCCATTTCCCATGTCAAACCAGAGGTGTGTACCCCGACACTGACCTTCCCAGCCCTCTGGGGTTATTCTCTGTCAAGGTGATAGATGGCATCTGTCAGCTGCTGACTTTGCTTCCAGCTCATTGCTCCTGGAGAGCAGCACTGCCTGTTCAGGTCACCTTAGGAGAACTGAACACAGAAAGCAAAATCTGGTTTGGTTTGATGATTTAAGTTACAGTGGGATGACAAAGAAGCTCTTGCTTACAGTGCCAACCCTTGGCTAAGAGGAGAGAACAGCCCAGAGTGCAGCAGCACAGCAGCCACTTTGCCATGGGTGGAGCAAAGACTCTTATCTCCAGATAAAATAGAAGTGGCCAGTACCAGGAACTGTGTGTTAACAGACTTTGTGAGTCAAATCTGTGTACACTGAAACATATTCAGAAATGTTCCCTTTCAAGCAAATACCCTTGTATTCACTCTCTAAATATAAGTGTCAGTCATCAAAAAATGAAGCCCAGAGGCCCACCCTGAGCAAGGCAGCATTGTCCAGACAAGCATTGCCAGAATATTTAGGAATTGCTTCTCTTGGCCTGAAACCTAATTAAAAAACTTCCTGTAAAATTCCATGTTTCACTTGACAAAGCTCAGCAGCATTTCAACAGCTTTGTCTTCCTGAAATATGCTAAATCTGTAATTGTTTGAAGACATCAAACCCAGTGATTTATAAAGTTCTCTGGTTCAGTATCACAGCTGATGGCTGGGGATGAAGAGAAGTGTGTAATTAAAGATTCAAACAAGTACAGTGAAAGAGCTGCTTTAAGCCTTTAAATCCATCATTAGGTTGATTTTCAAATGTACAGTACAGTTTTCCTGCCTGTTGCAAAATTGTGGTCTAAAAAAAATATTTATAAGCTTTTCTGCCTAAAAGTAAATTCATGAACTCACTGCTATTTATAAACTTGCAGAGAGTGAAAGACTGTAAAGGTACCAATAATACAAACTCTTCTGAGGAGAGCACCATGGCTTGTCACCACAAATTAGCTTGGACAGAAATACACATAATCCTCTGTATCCAATTCCCAGAATCAGCACAGCTTGTTATCAAAAAGCACAATTCCATTTTCTTGTAAAGGGTCTGGACTGGTCTTTTTTTATTGTCCATTTTCTCACTCAGGAAAGAAGGTCCTTTTTCCTTTTAACCATTCAAAAGCCAGTGTTTCCTAGAGCAAACTCCCTGCCCAATAGGCTGTCCACTTTCTGGGGGTGGGGGGGAAAGGAAAAGCACTGAAATGAGATAGAGCAGAACATTGATTGCCAGGAGATCAGAGAGCTGCAGGCCAGGCATCAGCACTTCAGGCATTTTGCCCTGGCTGTGCTGGGAGAGCTGCTCAGAGAAGAGGGCTGGGAGATCTGGTGCAGAGGGTGTCTTGGGGCAGCTGTTAATGCCCATTTTAAATATATCCCCTGTGGGGCTGCAATGGCCAGGATGGATATTCTAACATTTTCCACATTTCTGGACTATTGCAGCTGAGGTAACTTGAACATTTTAGATTGCTAAAAAATGTGGCAGTCAGTTAATTCAACAGGATGTTGTTGAGAACATGCAGAATGCTAGACCTCTGCCATCTGAGCTGGCCTGTTTGACAGACACAGACGGTGTAAGAAGCTTTTTAATCTTGTGTCGCTTTAGGAAGCTGCTGCCTGCTGTAGTCAAAGGGATTTGTTTGTGTACAACACATTGCAATAGAACTGTAACACCTGTACCCACAGCAGTGTGTATTTAGTTACCAAGTCCCGTGTGAACTCACTGTGAATGTAAGCACCTGGATAAATTTGTGGATCTGGCTCAGGCCTTTTGTGTTGCTGGTAACACTCCTCTGGTCTTCCCTGCCTTATGTCCTGAGAAAAGCATGAAAAAAGAGAAGCAGCTGCTCGTGATGCTTCCCCAGACCTCCTGGGGATGCTGGTGTAGCATCCATGTAACCTGGAATTGGGCTGCCTTGGATCGTGCTGGACCACGATGATGGAGGGAGTTTTGTCACAGAAGCAGAGCGATGGTTCTGCAGCAGTTGAGGTGTTATTACAAATGGTAAGTTTTAACCCTTTGTGTGCAGGTGAGCTGAACACCACGAGTGCCCTGGCTGATGCAGGCTAAAGAATGACTTTCTAACAGAAAGTGCTACCATCAAAGAATCCATTTACGTGCTGTGGCTCAGGTGTGAAAACCAAAGCAAGCTCTCCACTGCATGATAAATCACAGTAAAATTGTTCTGTCTTTGTACCACTGCTGTTTCCTTGGATTTGCATTGGCTGCATCACTGTTTCCCTGCATATGATTAACTCTCCTTGTTATGTCTTCCCACTCCCCCCCCTTTTCCTTTTTCATGTGGCTTCGGAATTGAAGCTAATCAAGCAAAAAAAAAAAAAGAAAAGGAAAATTCACAGTGAGGATCTGGGGATTAAACTGTCTGTCAACCTTATCAGAGGGAAAGGTCTTTTTTCTAATCATTGTTTGCATTTTCATAGGTTAACAATTTTTGAAGCTGTTAAATGATATCGTTCCTTCAGTTTGGCAGCATTTGTTGTACTTGCCTACAATGAAAAATGCTTTCAGCTTAAGAGTGCATGGAACTGTATAATTTGTATGGTGCCTGCCTTAACAGGTATGATAATGTAATTTTAGGATTACTCTGCCAAATTAAAACCTGGCATAAAATTCATGCAATTGG